TCTGCCCTGTGTTGTTTGAGTGACATTGGGCAAGTCACCAAACTGTGAAGAGCCTTATTTCTTTGCTGCAAATGGAGGTGGGAGTACCCAGAGCACAGCCTCAGTGTGATGCCCAACTGAGATCATGTACGTGCTATAGGAATGTTCTTTATAGACTGTGTAAGTTCCTGTGTATGTAAGCTCTTATATTCTAATTCGGTGATTCTACTTAGCTGGTGTACGTAAGCTCGTAATTCATACTTAAAGTAGTCTGCGAACATGTGGAAGTCTGTGTTATCCACGGGCCCCGCAACCAGATTCTTGAGATCGACTGCACATTCTTTGTGCAGTTTCCCCAGGCTGATCCAGTACCCTTAGTAGGTTTCATGACAGAGCCCAGTTCCAGTTGCAACTGTGTGCTATGAAGGAGAAGCAATTTGGAAAGCCCCCTACAGGTAATTATTAGGCTTAAAAATGCTTTCTATAAAGGAAGAATAAAGCCACATGTCCAGACGAAAGGGACCTAACCTTTTTTGGAGTACTCCTCTGTGCTAGACAATCAACGTGTATTTTCCCCTTCAGTGCTCACCACACCTCTCACAGAGAGGATTTCTAGCCTCATTTTACAGACGAGGAAACTGGCACTCAGAGGGGTTAAGGAACCTGCCCAGAGTCCTAGGGTCACTAGGTGGGTAACAGTGAGGAAGAGAACAGCAGCCTGACGGCCAGGAGCTGGCCCGGCCCTCCAGCTGAGCCTCAGTGTTCTTCTGCTGAACACGAACATGTTCACGGAACATCCACAGCACACAAGGCCACTGTGACCGTGATAGGTCAGGACAAACCAAGACCCCTCAGTAGCCAGGGCTGAGCACAGGCGGACGTGAACATTGTCCACGCAACAACCGTGACTGGACACCCCCTCTCCTGGCTTTAGCCTTGCTCCCTTCTTCCTGCCTTCCAGATAAGAATGACTAAGATAATACTCTCGCTTCCTGACAGCATCCAACCCAGAGAAAAACCTTAGTTTCTTGACTCTCCCCCAAATCATCTAACCAAAGCCCGAGCCTATAATAAGCCCTTTCTAACACCTTCTTACAGAGGTGCCCGTGGTTCCCTTCACTGCAGGGAGTAATAAACCCAACTTGGTCAACCGCAGGTGTGTTTCTGGTGGACCCTGGCTGCAGGGAATTGGCGGTAAACAGTACTGGCCGAGATCTGCCTGACTTCAGATCCGTGTGCTTTCACTGCACCTCCCAGCAAACAGGATATTCAACTGAAGTCAAAGGTTGGGGGGTTGATTTTGTTTTCATTTTTTCTGTATGGTTTCCATCTATTTTGTTGTCCTCTAGAAACGAAGGTATTAATATATCAGAATCACATGTGAGCTTAAAGTTCATAAGTATTTGCCAACTCCCAATAAGAGAAAAACCATTCATTCACTCACTCACATCCTCATTCTCCATGTTAGTGGGTGGTCTCCCGTGTTCCAAGCTCTGGCTCAGAATTTGGGACACGGCCGTGAAAGGCACAGTGGAGCTCACCTCATAGAAGGTACTGGGAGATAACATGATGGCTATGCAAACAAAAGTCTACACAGGGCACTGCAGGAGTCTGGGAGCAGAGTAGCCCACATCGCCTGCAGCGTCCAGGAAGCCTTTATATTTGAGCTGATTCTGGAAGTATGAACTCCCAGGTGCAGAACAAAGAGAGGCCCTGAAGGCAGAAGGAACTGCCTGTGCAGAGTCTCAGAGATGGGAAAGTCCTGTCATGTCTGGGTGACAGAAGTAGAGTACAGAAGGTGGGGAACAGGAGAGGGAGGAAGTAGATGAGGCTGGACGAGAAGGTGGAGCCATATTGGAAGAGCCTCGTGCGCCATACGGAGGGGTTAGCATTATCCTTGGGGTAATAAGGAGTCAGGAGTGTTGTTTCAAGCAGGAGACTGGTGTGACCAAATCCATTTCCGAAAGATCTTTCTGGCAGAAGCATAAAGAATTTTTTTTAAGCATGATATACGTGATCTGAAGGTTGAGTTTTGATTTATGGTCTGGAAGGGGCATTTATTAGCTCTAATGGACTATGAGACTAATGGGTCTTGTGTGCCCAGCTAGGGAGCTTTGACCTTACCCTGTGGGTGATGGAGAGCCTTTGAAGGATTTGAAGCAGGACAGAGATGTAGTCAAATCTGCCAAAAAAAAACCCCACATCAACAGCATGCTATGTTAATGCGTGATTCCTTTAGACTTTTTGGAATATCAAAATAGCCTGAAGGCCCCATCATGACCTTGCCAGAAGTCAGGTCGAAAATTTCTAGATCAAATGATTTCTTAGCTCCCCTCCAGCTCTGACAGTCTAAGATTCTGTAACAAGGAAGGTAAAGCTATTGCCAAAACGTATAATGCATCACAGTGTCAGACTTTGGGATTATATGCTGCTTGGGGTTTTCCGCACCACTGCTCTCCTTCATTAGTGGGGATAATTGAGAGTTGACTGCAGTCCTTACCGCTGCTGTGATGGGTATTTGAAGCTAAATTCCGGCAAGAGGAGATGTGTGAATATTTATCTCAGCTGCAGAAAGTTAATGCAGTGTGGCATTAATTACCCTGTCTGAGCCTGCTGTCTTCTGTTTTTAGGTGTCATTCTCTGTTGAATAAATTAGTCTCCAAAATTAGAATAGAGCAAATTGTAGGGTGAGATCAAGGCAGCCTGACTTCTTAGGGCATCCAAAAAGAAGAGCAGGCTGAGAAAGTACCCAGGAAAGATAAAGATACATCCCTGGAAATGTCTTTTCCCAGTAGCTGTAGATAACTACCTTACTACTCTACCTTTGCTCCGCCCACCCCACCCCCAAACACAAACACACTGTCAAGCTACAGGTTTGGCCTCACAACAAGTTTTGAAACATTTCAAGACATTGGCAGAGAATAGATTAGGTGCTTAATAAGTCATCTTGCTGTAGATTTTGATAGATTAGATTTTGAGAGAGTAAAGCCAAATTGGAGTGTATTTAAGACAAAGAGATCAGAACAATGAAGCAAGTAGAAACTCTATCACAGTCATTCATTAATTCAACAAACCTTCACTGAGCCCCTACTGTGCTAGGTCCACATATGTGAAATGGCAGAAAGAACTGGCAAACCATAGCCCAGAGGTTGGATGTGGAAAAATATGGGCTTCCATACTTTCTGTCTTTGGATATTTGGAAGAAAGATTATATCTATTCTTTATGTTTCTGAAGACAGTATGAAGTCCCATGGGTGGAAAGCATGGGAGAACGTGTTGGCACTCTGTTATATTACAGGATAGGTGCCTGGAAGGGTAGGAAGCTCCTTCTCTGTGGAAGAATACAAACACAATGAGTTCTAGAAGAAAACATCATGGATCTGATGTCAGGAGTCCTGGATTCTATTCCTGGCATGGTTACTAAGTAACCTTGTGACTCGGGGGAAATGAGAGCTTTTCTCTGGGCTTCCGATTCTTCATCTGCACAATGATGGATCTTGGCAAAATTATCTTCTAGTCCGTTCCCACTTTACAATCAAAGCAAGCTATATGATAAATACATGAGAGACAGCACAATGACCTTGAGATCACACAACCTCCCTGACCTTCAGTTTTTATCTGCAAAATGAGATGGAAAGAATAAAAGCCACTCCCAGGACTGATAGGCAGATTAAGTAAGACCTGAGAGTGCTTTATAAACTCCAAAGCATTCTACAACACTACAGATGGAAGGGTTGCTTTTTTATTATTATTATTTTATTTTTTAGTGTGGCTGTTATAATAAACTAGAAAAAGCACTGGATCCTACTTTCAGGTCTCATGGCCCAACTTACTAGCTGTGTGACCATGGGAAAATTACTTAACTTTTCTGTGCTTGATTTCTCATTTGCAAAAGAGCTAATGCATCTGCTTTACAAGCCTGTTGTGATGAGTTAAAAAGACAATGTACTTGAAAATACCCAGCATGGAGCTAGACACGTAGTAGAGGCTCATAGAGTGTCAGTTCAGTCTTATGGTTCAAGAAAATAAAAAGGATCTATTCTCACATGGCAGGAGGCAAGCTAATATATAAACTATGGCAGAATTAAGGTATCACTGCGTCCCTTTAATTCTGGCACAAACATCCAAGAGTGACAGCATAAAGGTCAATTTTAACAGAAGGGCTGATGCATGCTTAAGACCAGACTATTGATCTGATCTTCTTGGCTGATGCAACCTGGGCCATCTCAACATGAACTGAGTCAGAAGTGGTTTCTACAGGGCCAAACACTGTTTCCCATTTACGTTTGGATTAAAGGCTTGCTGTGTCGTATACTGGTGAGAATTCCTGTGTATGTCTCAGGACAGCCCCATGAGTGCAGGCAAATGAATGCTCAAGCCTAAAACAGCAGACTGAATGGAAACAAGTCCCAGAAGACTGTAACTAAGAGCTAAAGGCACAGTTGCTATTTCTCTTGCTCCCAAACACACTCAGTCATCACTCCTTGTAGAAACCCAAGAGCAGTTCGAAATAGAAGTTCAGCAGTCTTAAGTGGGCATCCATGAAACTATGTTGGAAAAATGTCCACTTGACTCATGGTAATTGTCACTGTTTTCTGAAGACCTATTACTGCCAAGCACTGTGCTAGATGCTTTATGTATATTATCTCTAATTCTCAAGAACCCTGTAGAATAAACAGTATTATTCCCATTTCATAATTGGGGAAACTGAAGCTAAGAAAGGATAAGTATTTTGCGCACATCCCACAGCTTGTTCAGCTCTCTCTGCTATACCATGCTATTTCCCAACAGGGTAATCAGTCTCAGCTTGAAAGCCAAGGACAAAACTGGGTAAGTAGTTCTTGATGATAAAAAAAAGTTGCCAAAATGATATGCACCGTGATCACATATAACCAAAAATCACCTAAGGTCATCTGTCAAACTGTCACCTTTCTGTTCTAATCCCAAACTGTCCTTCCCAAGCCATCTCAGAAAATCCTGTCTGGAAAAGAGCAGGTCTCACTTTGTTCCTCTGTCCATAGGAGCTGGAGCCTCTCTATGCGCAGATCAACAGACCTAAGAAATAGCATCGATGCAGGCTCGTGGCGGGTGCTTCAAGACTGCCATGGAAATCAGTATCGAGACAGGCTCTCTTGTATTCTTTCACCTCACCTCATCCCATGAAGAAATTCATGATTGCCCAATGGAACTCGTTTGGAAGAGGGAACTAAGAGTTTTTGGCAACCAATGGCAGATATGTATGGCAGCACAAAAAAAACCCCACAAAAGTATAAAAAGTCATACCCAACATTAAATCACAAATCAAGCAAATGCTTACCTGACAAATATTCTGAGCTCTCTTAGCATGGGTTTAAGATGACCCAGTACACGAAATCATAATTCTCTCTTTATTTCTCTACCTGTTGACCATTGTAGAGACATCAAATTTGGAGTGACAGGCCTCAGAGAGTTACAACAGGGTTGGCACTGACTTCTTTTAGGCAAGAGCAAGAGGTCTTTTGTGACCTCCATATGCTTTTTGACATATGATAATGTTTTCTCATGACTCCACAGGGCCTGGTCTGCCATTTCCCCCCCTTTCCTTTCTTTGTCATGTTTGAAAATTAATGGGTGTACAAATTTTTGTATTGCTTTTGACTTTTTTTAGGTATGGGTGAAGAAATCTAACTGGAAAAAAAAAATGCCTCATATGAAATGAATTAACTTGAAATCACAAGACAAATAAGTGGTTGATTATTCTTTATGATCAAGAATGTTGCCAAAACAACCCTTTAGCTCTTCTGCATCCTGGTGAAGAAAGACAGCTTTTGGTCTGAACCTTCCTTCTGTGAGTAGGAAAGGACATCGAATCCCATTGATGAGAAAGATGAAAAACATATCTGATTTCCTAAGAAGCTCTAAACTCTAAGTACAATAAAATGATATTTTTTATTTTTCCGATATCTTGCTGCTGTGATGCTATGCAGACAAGTGTCTTCTCCACGTGCCATTTTCAAAGAAAGTCATTTGCCAAATAAGTCTGGTACAATCCTGGTAATGTGGTTTTGGACCTTAAAAACCGACTTTCTCATGGAACAATGGTGACATGAATATTCAGAATAACAAACTGATTCCGTGGTCACAATGGTTCATCTCTATCTCTTTTTGTACATCAGAAAGTTCAAATGGGATTTTTATTTTATAACTTGAAAAAAAAACCTTACCATTAAACTCTTTAAATATTTAAGGGAAATGGCTTTAAGGAGTTCTAATGAAAAAAAATTGCCAGTTTTTTTTGTAAATATAAATGTTAATGAAAATGCTTTTTAATAATGCCATGACACTGTAGAGAAGGTAGCAGATTGAGTGCAAGATGTGACAAAGTTGATGGATGGGGCTCACTTTCCAGATGTTATTCTGGAGCATATGGCAGGAAACAGGAGTTCAGGGACAGCTGGCAGGAGCAGTTGGCCAATCAGCAGCTAGTGAACAGGAAGGGAGCAAGTGACTCCAACATCCAGCCTTTCCACAGGAGTACCTGCCCTCTGCACCAAACAAGAAAAAGACGGTTCACATTGTGAAGGCCTGTCCTTCCGATTCTGAAACCCTCCCACCTCTCCACTCCCACACACCCCCATAGAAATCACTGGACTGTTTGTACGTGAAACAGAAGAGTTTAAGCTTCCCTTTTTTACATTTATGAGACAAAAAGTGCAGTGTTCGGTTCATATGTTTAGCACATGATTTTCATAAAGAATCTATATATTTTTGCCCTACAGAGAATTGTTCTACAGGTCAAATGTGTTTTCCTGATGTTCCTATGCAGTTACAGTATGTTGAATTTAGTGGTTTAACACTAAGAAGAAAACTTTAAAGAATCATGTGATGAATTGGGTTTGGGGGTAATTATGATGACTTGGATTTAAATTTGAAAAGTAGAATTTACATTCATATAATTGACTTAAATAGGCCTGTGTACTTTGGTTCTTCATATCAATAGAAACTAAAATGATTTGGAGGAAGGTATACTTGTTCACGAAGAGAAAATTGATGAAGTCAAGGTGATTGTTACTGTTTGAAGTCCAAATTTTATACTATCAGGTCACTGGAATCTAAATGTTTTCCAGTTAGGTAAACTGACCAAATGTCCATTACGGAAAGTATGTAAATGTCATCCTAATGTGGACGGTCTGAAGAACCAGAAAAGTGAGAGGGGCCCTTCTCCTCCCCCTGTAACTATCAGCTGTGGGTCCACATGGTTTCTCTGGGAATGTGCATACATGTTATGACTAGGTAATCCTTTCACGTGAAGGGGAAAATGGGAAAGGTGTGATAACCATGCAAGTTGTCCTGAAACCAGTTCGATTGTGTTTTCTGGCGATTCGATAAGATAGGCAGTTCCCACGGGAAAATGGCTTCAATTGCTGTGTTGTCCGTGATTCTGATTCTAAACAAGCGGTGCTATCTTCTCCTCGATGCGGCTGTCTTGAGTCTGTCTTGCAGTATCACACCACTATGCTGATTCTTTGGGTTGCTTCTGACACGTTCACAGTGAACTCCGGCTGATGTGGCTGTTTCAGGTACACCGTCTGGAGTTAATTTCATAGCAGGAAGTGACAGCCCAGTGGACTTGTCATCATTCATTGAATGTGATTGAGGATGTAACTGGCTCTGAACTTAAAGAAGATGCCCATGTGATGCATTAAAGTGAGGGAAATAAAGTCAAGATTTTAAACTGCCATCCATGTTATCATTGGCAGAATTCTGATTTTTTTACAAGCACTGTTTGGTGAGCTCCTATCCCAAGAGTGCAGTGAAATTTCCAAATAAGAGCTGAGGTGCCGATACCAAAAGGCCATGGGGAGTCTGCACAGTTCTGGTTAGATCGATAGAAAATCCACGCGTACCACTGTTAATTCCTCATCCTTCACTAGCACTAAATTTGTCACTTTAAATTTTGAAACCAGGGAAACGCCACCTGTCATTCTGTCCCATTCCCCATAGCTCTTCAATCTTCACATGCCACAAGACTTTTTTGATAACTTGTACTCATCCCAGTGTCTACTGAAACCCCATCATGTAATGTACCGGCACCTTCTTTTAAAAAAAATGTTTACTCTGTGGGTTTGGTTCATTTCAATTTCTGCGTTCTGACACATATTTTTTTAATAAAGATGAGAAAGAGAAAATGACTGTTGCAGTACATTTCTAGACCTACTTTAACTTTACCTCAGATGACAGTTTGTTAACATATACGGACACATTATTTTTAACTTTATGTACAATGCATTCAACAGAACAGCGAAATTTTTAGAAATTTTCCATTAATTTCTGTAACACACCATGTAAAACTGTTACAAATAAACATGTTTGAGAACAACAGCTTAGCCTGGTTTTATTCCACAGTTTCTAATGGATATCCAGGCGAGGGATAAGCTTCCGTCTGACCTGGTGAACGCCTCTGTTTTCCTGGCACTGGGCCAGAGAAGGAAGCTTCCTTGAGGAGTTAGATCAGTTGGCCTCAGTTAAATTCAGGTACTTGCTGCACTTGGAAAAGCAGCCACAGTGAAGAATGAGGAGGATGTTGTGGGGAAAGGCACACCCTGTATAGCTGTGGTGTCTGGACCACATTTAGCATTGGACTTGCAAAAGTGGGAAAGACCCCAGGGCTGGCCCTGTGGATTTGTCTTCTAAAACAATGCCCTGCTAAACTGTTGGTGAGAAAACCAAGGTTAATCTAGACTCTCAAAAGAGTTTGCCATAGTTCATTTCAAGGTCATCTGCTTTAGGGGACCCAAAGAAGGAAGCATTTATCTTCCCTCACATTCCCCACACACTCCACGACGGAAAACATAAGACGAAAAGAAGTCGGAAGCTGCACCTTGACTCTTATATGTATTGAAGAACAGAAAAAAATGTACGTGTGTGTGTGTATATATATTTATGCATGTATGTATATGTATATGTGTGTGTGTGTCATTTTTATCTCTCTTTGTAACTAAATCAGTTTGTCTATCCAATAATCAGCCAGATTTCAGATTACAATTAGGTCATTGAGATGCCAGAAAACACCTCGATTTAGGAATGGTTATATAAATAGTTGCATAAACACATGCCCTCAATCTGGCCTGATTAAACAGAAAGTATTAAATAGATGTTATGGCCAACTTGAAGAAAATGAGAGAAAGGGCTTAGATTCCAGCAAAATAAATTTGGTACAGATAGAAGAAACTCTCCTACAGCAAGAAATGCTCACTCTTGGCTTATATTGTTAGAGAATGTTGCAGAAGCTTTTCTGAATAATGACAGTGGCTCATGCTGGTTGAGCAACTAATATGTGCATGATTCACGCTAGCTGCTTTATGCCTATTGCCTCCGTTCATTTTCTAAACAACACAGAGGGTAAAGAAACTAAGACTTGGAGAGATGGAATAACTTCCCTGGCCAGCAAATGCTAGAGTTGAGATTTGGATTTTGAGTCTCTTTACTCATAGTTGATTTTAATTTTTAGAAAAAGCTGGATATTCAGTCTTTTAAATAGTTCTCCATAGGCTTGTTGGAAAGCATTAACCTTTTATGCCTCTTCCCAAATCTCTCATTGATCTTTGGTAATAAGTTAGATTTCTAAGTTCCTTCAGTTTAAGTAAAAATAAAAATCTGTTAAATGTTACTACCTTATGTAGGTTGCTAAATACGTGGTTTCTTCTTTAAATGGCATTTTTGAAAGGGTGTGTGTCTAAGGGATAAAGAGTATAACTTTTTGTTTAACTGGTTCAAGTTTAGCTGAAACCAAGCACTGGTGATTTACTTTTCAAACCTAAATGAATCTTAAAGAAGTGACAAATTAAAAGGTGTCCTATTTAACTGCTAGGCGGGTGCCAAAATAAATCAGACAGACTATCTGCTTTCATTTTGTGCTTGAGAGCAAACCCTTGTTGTTTTGACAGTAACTGTTTTTTGTTTTACTCAGAATGACAGTAGGAAAAACGCCTAGAATAAAAAAACAGGTTTCAGTGAATCAACCTTCAAAGCTTTGAAAGCTTTTAAAAGATGTTTAAATTCAAGGGAAATGTGAGCAATGGTGCCTGAAAGATTAAAAAAAAAAAAAAGTAAACAGATGTAAATGGCTTTCAAGCTCTTTAGTGACCAGTTCTCGGTATTTATGTTATAATATGAATAAGGGCTGCCGCTCTTGTGCTCCTGCTCTGTATGTGCCACTCATTTTCTGGCTATCATTTCTAAATCCCTACACAAACCCTGCGAGGAAAGTGGTCCCCATTTTACAGCTTAGGAAACGGAAACTCAGAGATGCTATGAAACAGCTCTCAGTTAACAGAGCCGAAGAGCTCACCCAGAGGCTGGCATAATTCCCAAGGTCTGATTCCCAAGATTCTTTCCTCTCCTGGATGGTTGTTTCTGTCTGCAGGGATTCTGTGATGTCAAATTGCTCATGCACCCTTGATAAAATAGTTCGAGTCTTTCTGTATTCAATTCCAAGTAGTGTCTATTATATTAGAAAAATCACACCA